CAATGAATCTGATATAAATATGGCGTTATAATATATTAAATTGACTTAGTAATTACTTACATTATTAAATTAATTATAAATAATTTACTAATATAGACTAATTTTAGCCTCAAACTGTTAAGCTACATAATTAAGGTAGGAGTTTCCTTTTGCTCCTTTAATTCAATGCACGTATTCATGTAAAGAATCACTAAAAACCTCATTGTTAACAAAATGCCCCGCGATTATGGTTTGAGAACAAAATAGAATGTGAAAATGTATAGAAACTTTAATTATTATTTATTAAACGAATCACTTATTTTTACTTCATCTCCAAAAAAAAAGGGCAAAAAAAAATAATTAAACACCTTAGATCTTAGTCTGTACCAATGTTGATCAAGAAAAGAACATGAAAATTATGAAGATCGTAGAGAAAGTGAGCTCGAAAATGCCAAAGTCGCAAGCAACAAAGAGAGCTAGATTTGACTCTTTTCTTCTCAATCTAAAATTTAATTGCGAATTGGAATGTTGATTGGATAAATTTGATAAAATTTTCTTGTTATTTATAGTGATTTGGTAGGAGAGGAATAGTTGTAACGTTTTTTTATTATTTATAGTGATTTGGTAGGAGAGGAATAGTTGTAACGTTTTTTTATCATTAGTGCACATAAAGTTATGTTAGTGTACCATGAGTTAGTGGAGTTAGTGCACATAAAGTTATGTTAGTGTACCATGAGTTAGTGGAGGAGTGTTATGAGTGGGTGATTAATTGAAAAATTGATGGCAATCAATTGGGAGGTTATGAAAATTGAGCATGCATGCCTTCATGTATGTATGCATATGAATGTGTAAGCATTTGGGAGGTTATAAAAAATTGAGCATGTATGTATGAATGGATGTAATGGAGAGCATTTTGGGTAGAAATGTTTTAACAATGCAATCCATTTTTATAATAGTACTAGTATGCAATACGTGCGTTGCACGTGATGCACAGTAAAAGACTACAATAGTTTAAAATTTTAATATGTCGGAATAAAAATGCAAGAATAAGTGACTTGTAACAGATATTTACCAACAAAAAACCAGAAGCCAGATCAAAGTCAGTTTATTATAAATTATCAAGTCATCAATATATCATTTAGCATTAAAATGTTGAATTGCTGCCTTTAAGAAACAAATTTCACTCATGATTACACCAAATCTTATGTATTGCAGTCGCTCAAGAATAACAAGATGAAGGCACCATATCAAACTAAAGAAAGCATAGAAAGTTATTAGATGATCAAGACATCTACAACAATCAACCGATCCTCAAGATGATATGGACTCCACTGTCAGTATCCATGATGTCGCTAATCTCGCCAACCTTCAGAGCAAAGGTAGCTTCCTCAAATGGATCTGCATCTAACCCCGCCAAAGACGACCTGCAGGATAATAATTAAAAAGATTAATAGGCAAAGTAATAGACCACTTAATAGATAATAGGATATCAATGTTTCTATTTAACACGATATGGGAACATAAATGTTCGAGCAATGAAGATATTATAGACGAGGTGAAACTCATGCAAAAAATTATTTTCAAGGAGCTTTATTTCTGTGATCCAAAGTACTTTACTACTTGACAAGTGCTGGTTGCCAAGCATGTGTACATTAATGAACTCTCACCTCTAATTAATCACAGTATAATATCTATAATGACATCAAGCATCACTTCCCATCACAACAGTAGTACAGAAACAGAAATGATTTTGGTCTACACTCATAAATGTAGCCTAAATTATAAGGAAGCACCACATATTTCAATAACATACTTTCATATACAACATGAAATTTAACTGCATTTTGCTACCACCAATTATACATGTAATACACTTCAATACCATATGTTAGAGGCTTCCAGAGACATCATGAATCACATACAAAAAATTGGAAATATAGATAAAATATAGAGCTTTTGCTAGCATAAGGTCCTGGAAAAAAATTGCCAAAACTCGAGTCTTCACATGCACCCCATAGTGAATTTCTGGTAAAAGAAAGCTCAAAACAGACGAGCCATTTGATGGCTCTTATAGTAGTTCTTCTGCTAGCGGAGCTTTTCACGTTAACAGCAATGTTGAATCTAGCGTGCAACATGAAAGCACTTGCCTAACAATTATAGATGATATTCAAAAGCAAAAACATGATGAAGCTGATAAAAAGATTGCTCGGTTCACAATTCTATTCACTTTACCGCTGCTCAATCCAGTTACTACCAAGATATGATTGATGCAATTGCAGAATGTGGGTCTGGTTATATAGCTTCAAGTTATGAGGACTTGAGATTCAGCTCATTTAGAGAAAATCAAAGGAGAAGTACATGAAATTTTTTGTAAAAGATTGAGAGATCAGTGGAAGGAGACAGGGGTCAATATTTTATCGGACAGTTGATCAGATGGAAGATCGAAGTCTCTACTTATATTATCGGTTGCATCATCCAAAGGGACACATTTTCTTAAATCTTTAGATATATCATCTTATATTGATGATGCCTCTTATATTTGAGGTTGGAAAAATTGTGATCTTACATAAAAATTAAATTAAATAATATCCCATCACGTTACACTATATTATATTACATGAAAGCTGTACTCCGACAGACTTTGGTTGATTTTATCCGTAGTCCCATTTTACTTGAGGAGACTTCAAGATTGCATTGTCTTTTATCATTTAGGTCCAGTTCAATTAGTACCAAACTAAGAAGGAACACATGGGATGTCAAAAGAATGCATCATCAGTATCTGCTATTGTATACAAACTTTGGAACTTCATATGTCTTTATTACTTATTCATCCATTTGGTGCGTTCCATACTACACATCCTTATGAGTACAAAAGGAGCCCGTTTGATAGAACCTGACAACGTGTCTGCACTATCATCCGTACACAATCAGCTCTTGACTAAAGCAATACTCACAACTCACTAAAATTAACTAATTCTAGTAATATTATTTAAATGTGTACAGGTTTGGTTATGAAACAATTGTCTTTTATCATTCGGCCCAGTTCAATTAGAACCAAACTAAGAAGGAACACATGGGAAGTCAAAAGAATGCATCAGCATTATCTGCTATTGTATAAAAACTTTGGAACTTCATACAAAAGGAACCTATTTGTGATTGCCTGAATGTGCATGTGTGTGAGAGAAATAATACAACAAGTGCAGAGTACAAAGGCTGAATGTAAACCTAGTTGCACAGCATTAAGAAACAAATGACTAACAATAAGCTTATTTTCAAATTGTACAACCACAAAGAAGAAATCGGCCATAATACCTAATGAATATTAAAAATAGTCATTAAAATTAGTGAGCATCACTGGTTTTCCTCCAAAAACGGAAAAACATCTTTTTTGAACTAATTAATAATTATGAAGCCTTCATATATATACAAGGGAATGAACTTCAAGGCCCTCTTCTTTTATGAAACAACCCCACAGCTAAAAGAAAAAAGTACAGAACTATCTCTATTGAAAAAAGGCAAAAAGGCAAAGATATGAAGCTTTAACCAAGTCAATAATAGGGATTTAAAGGGCCAAGTTAAGAATTTGAAAAATGGTACAAGAAACAAACATTTATGACACAGGCCAACAAAACAGTCCTTCTTCACATAGCCAACTTTAAGGTTTTGCGCAAACTGAGAGCAAATTATGCCAACACTAAAGTTTACCATAAACTAAGAGCAAAATATGCTCTCATGGGTGACATCAGAAATTCACTTTCTTATTCAGAATCATAGTAAAAGGGTCGTGTAATCCTCATGCTTGAGAAAGGATAACGGTGACAGCTTCAACCAATTTCAGATGTGGCCTGTGTACCCAGAAGCTAACAGTGATCAAACTACCGTCAGATTAACAGTTTAGAGAAAAGACATGATGTCATATAGGTCTGAACATATATATTGAAATAGTGCTCCCTCAACTCTCATGTATTGGTAATAAATCCCCCCAAATCATCGTATTTTTGACACAAATTCCCTGAATCTCGCCTATTTTGATACAAGTCTCCCAAATCATCATATTTGAATACAACTCTCAAAAACATAAAGTTCCCACCCGCCCACCCCCCACCAAAAAAAAGGTAGTTCCCATCCACTTAACCCAACTAAAGTAAAGGGGTTGTTAGGGACTTTAAATTGGAGGGACTTTCAAAACATTAGCAAGATAAAGCCAGTTTTCAATGGGTTCAAAGGATACATTGGATTCCTTACCTCAGCAAGAGTATAGGTACAAGAAAAAAATTTAAAAAAAACAGGGAAATAATGAGAATGTTGTTGATAGAACTTGTTGATAAAACCATATCACTAATTAGATAATTTGAAGTTACAAGCAAAAGAACACCAAACAAATATTTTGGGGTTCTTTTGCTTGTCTGCTTACATCAACAATATTCTTACTCTTATGTCTGGATTTAGGGTATTGTTTAATTCAGCTGTATTTTATACAAATATAGATATAGATATAGATATAGATTTATGCATAACTTCGTTTCCAGCTGTTCCTACATTTATACAATCACCAACTCACACCACATACTCATCTCCGGTCCATCCTTATCCTTCATATTTAAAATTTTAAGTTATTACAAAATTTAAAATACATAAAGAATAGTGTTATGATGGAACAAAGTCCTATTAAAGAGGATGACTGGAATTATCAACTACTTCATAATTCAAGAGCTAAGAACAAATGTGAAGCATTGTCATTTGTGTACTTAATGCACATTTACCCAAATTTGAAAATGTCGAAGATCTAATATGGCATTCTATAAAAGCACATATGTTTTTAAATGTTTTTAGTATACCATACGTGCATTGCACGTGATGCATATTAAGATGACTGTAAAAATCAGTGAACCTCACATAAACTCATTGCAAATAACACTAAATCAAATTAGCTGTATATTGTTTACTATAAAAATAGGAAATTCTTATTGGAAAAGTGATTAATAAAGCTAATGCCAACTTGCAGGTTGATGGCTTCCTAATTGAAGAAAAGAGCAAATTAACAGAAAAACTTTCATTGTTACATAGGATATGTTTGACTCATAATACTTTAAACAAACAAACACTATTTAAAATGTACTTCTTAAAATCAACATAGGTGCATATCCTCGACATAATAGTTTAAATAAACATAATTAAGTGTATTCATCGTAGTGCTATAAATGATGAATCACTTCTCACTTTCTATTTTAATATTTTTATTATTCATGAACTTTCTTTTGTTCATATCTTTTTTCAGGCTTGTCATACTCTTTCGCTTCAGTGAAATGTCCTTTGAATCTTTATCTTCATCACATTCTATTGGTTCGAAGTTGTTTGGGCTGCATATTTCTTGAGCGGTTATTCTTCCTTCAATTCTTTTCTCTTCATCTTTCCTGTTCATTTTTACCAAGAAAAGATATTCTTTGTCGCAACAGGTCATCATTTTCTGGTACATAGGTGATAAGTGCTCCTGCATTATATTTATGGTCATTTTTTCTATTTTACTAATTACTAATTTTATGGAAAAAATATTTTATATATTTGAAATAAATAATGTTATATTACCTTTCCTTCTTCATTAAATGAATCTACATATTCTTCAGTTGAACAACCAGTTAGATACCGAGCTTCATCGAAAAGTATAACATATGCCTTGTCGATATGATCTTTAACTTCCAATCGCATAAGGTACCTTGATGTGAAAATTTAATGTTATTTTTATTTTTTTAATAAATAAAATTTAAAACTTACTTTATTTCCCATTCTGCATCTTTAGTATTGCAATTGTTGCAGTTAGCTATGCTGTCTTCAACAAAAACCTTTCTTTGACAACTCTTGCATGCGGTGTAACAAGGTGATTCTGGATTGATTATTGCTGATATCTCTGCTCTAAAGTAGGAATACATATTCTAAAAAATAGCAATCAAGTTATAAATTCAAAATTTATTATTATTTATCTTGTTAATATCTTAACCAATATAATAAAATACATGTTTTGTAGCTATTGATGATGTGATAATATCACCAAGCATAACCTTCTTAGACCTTCTCATTAGCTTCGATGGGGTCTGCTGCATCAGTTTCTCATAATTTTTCTCGTTCCCTGTCATCTTATATTTAAGACATGTATTATTTTTTTTCAAAATTACATTAGGAAGGATTTTATTTGCATAAGCATTACCATTCTTTAAGAGTGTGTGATTCAGTAATGTTTGGGTCTATCAAAAATATTATTGTAGGCTTTGATGATAGTTGCGGAACTCCTGTATTCATTATATGGTTACTTTTTGGTTATATAAAATTTTTAAAACAATTAAATTGAAAAGTCTTACCCATATATCTATTTGCAGTAACATTAATTATTGCTATAATTTTTAAAACAATTAAATTGAAAAGTCTTACCCATATATCTATTTGCAGTAACATTAATTATTGCTATAATTGGTTTTTGTTTTTTCTTGTCAAGTCTTACCCATATATCTATTTGCAGTAACATTAATTATTGCTATAATTGGTTTTTGTTTTTTCTTGTCTTCGAATACTTGACCTTCTTTATCTGCATGCTCTCCCCATAATGTTAATACCAATGGATCCATCCTGTGTTAATTAAAAAAATTATTAAATGGATATGTTAGTATTTTAATATTTGTTATTGAAAAATTATTTCTTATTTAAAAATATTTACTCTTCATTCATTATTGTGATCTCCCTTCTAACTGATGTATTTGTTGTGTACAACGGTCTTACTGAAGTGATGAATCCTAACACATCTGTATAAATATTAAAATTTTAGTGCTTAAAAATTTAATTTTGTATTACAAATGCTATGTTATTAAGATTAAAAATTTAGCATACCGAAAAATATATTTTCATTATTTGTCTTTGTCACCTCTTCGAATCGCTTGAATGAAAATGGTAGGGTACCGATATTGATTTTATTTTTGGATACTGTAATTTTTGTGTTTTGTCCAAAAGCAAGCTCAAAATTCGGATTCACCGATGCATATTTCCTATTTATAGGCCTGACTATATCATTCTTGATGATAATGGTATTGTTGAGATGGATGTATTCCTCAAATGTTGCTATTGTAGCATTGAATAGTGTGGCTTGAATCTTTGTTCCTGTATTTATTTGTTGTTACTTAAACTTTAAAATAAATTACCAGTTAAGTAAAAATTTAATGAAAATCAAATATAATAATAAATATTTCATTTGAAGAGTTGTACTTACCTCTTCGTCAATCACAATAATCTTTTGAACCTGACCTGAACCTTTTGACGATGAGAATTGCTTCAAGGACACTTTTAGTATAAGCACTTTGATTGAGAAAAATTCTTGATATAACTTCAAATCCTTAATGAAGCTGTATTCACCTTTACATTGTCTTTCAGCAGTCATCTTCCGTGTAACAATAGTAAATATTAGAAATATCAAATAAAGTAATTTTTACAAATTATAATAATGATATTTATTTTTTTCACCATCTTCTTATTGCAATATTTATTGCTATAAAATAAGTAAATTTAATTTTGATATTTTTATTATTGACATTTATTTAAAATAAATAAGTTAGTCATTTTAATGTTTTTTCTAACCTTTCTCTGGATAAAACTTCTTTGTAGACGATATTTTTGGTGTATGTATATCCTTTTTTTTTTTGTTTTCTTTCGCCTTTAACCAGCACTCTTGTATTATTTGTTGATACACCACGAGATAAAGCGACGTATAATTGTCCATGTGAAAAAACATGGTGTGGTAAATAAATACCCACTATGCGAATTGTTTGTCCCTGTGCTTTGTTTATTGTCATTGCGAAGCATAACCTTATAGGAAATTGTTTTCTTGTTTGTCCCTGTGCTTTGTTTATTGTCATTGCGAAGCATAACCTTATAGGAAATTGTTTTCGTTGAAGTCTGAAAGGGTAATTTTCATTTTCAGCTGGTGATAATGGTATCCTTGGAATCATGACTTCTTGACCCGCATGATGACTTTTTGTTATTTTTGCTTTAATAACATTTTTATCAAACTCTTTGCAAACCATTCTAGTTCCATTGCAAAGTCCATTTGATGGGTCAAGATTTCTAAGCAACATTATCGGGCAATTCTGCTCCAACTTTAGCTTGTGCGGTGGAAGACCATTAGGCATCATTTTGTTTAAAAATTCTTCTTGGTAGTAGTTATTTGGATCATCAATAGCCTTGTCAAAACTATGGAAAATAATCTCATCACCAGGAAATTTATCCAAAAGCTTGTCATTGAGCTCATCTACATATTCATTTTTTGTCGCAAGAATAACTCGTTCTGTCATATATTCAGTTGAATTTGCATTTTGTTTAATTGATGGAAATACTTGGTTTAACAATTCAACTTCCGATTGTCCATTTTTGCTATCTTCAATCACAATACTTTCAGGAAGTCTAATTAGTTCATCTTTAGTTGTTTTTTCTGTTCCATTTCCGACACGCAACAAGAATTTACTGAATTCTTCATCATTTTTTGCTCGCATGTTTATTTTTAATGTTATCTTTTCCATCTTCTCCCACAAATAAGACTTTACTAAGCTGGCATTAACTGTTTGGCTCCTTGTTCCTCTTGGAATAACTGGCAACACTTGACGAAAATCTCCTCCAAAAACTACTACTTTACCACCAAACAATTCTTTTGTACTCAATAGGTCTTACATTGTACGATCTACACTTTCAATTGCTACTCGTTTTTCCATAGGTGCTTCATCCCAAATAATTAGTGCTGCTTTTCTAATCAAATGTGCAGTACCTTCCTGTTTAGATATATTGCAAACTGTTGTCTCAGTGGCATTAATATGTATCTTAAACCGTGAATGTGATGTGCGCCACCAGGTAGTAAAGATGTTGCTACTCCTGAAGTTACAGTTGCTATTGCAATCATTCCTTTTGATCTGACATTGGCAAGTATAGTTTTGTACAAAAATATTTTTCCCGTCCCTCTAGGACCATCTATGAAAAAAACTCCTCCCTTATTCATATTAACTCTGTCCATTATTATTTCAAAAGATTTTCTTTGATCTTCATTTAATTTGTACTTACCATCTATATCTTCCTGACAGACTTCAACATCTATCTCATCATGTATGATTCATAGATTGCATGATGGATTATCTATTTCATCCTCTTTAAATTTAGGTAAATCAAAATCTTGTATTGTCTTCCCCATGCACTCTAGGAAATAATTAACTCCCTCTAATGCCCATGCAGTTTGTTCTACATCTGTCGCTATAGATCTTTGAACGAAATCTTCAGACATTGCTGGTCTATATCTCTCCCATAATAATCTGATATTTGTTGGTTGACAATAAACTAGAATAGTTGTAAATAATCTTCTTAATACGCATGGCATCTTGAAATTTACTGCTTCATCCAAGCATTCGACTATACTATCGTCGGATTCTAAGAGTCCTGTTTTCTGTGCAGACTCTTTAAAAGTATTCACAAGTAATCCATCAACAGTGAGTAGGTCATCCCAAGAAGTAGGACCTTTAACATGATTCAATAAAAGCCTTAAATAATATCTCTCCCCCTCTATAGGATTTGCTGAATTTATTCGTCCAATCACGGCCTTTTTTCCCTCTCATTCCAACATTTCTTTCCTACTACCCACACATAATGTTTAGGAAATTCTTTGTACAACAACATCCTTGCTTTTTGATCTGAAGCACATTTTCTAAAGAATTATGTAAGCATTGTCTTAGCTGTGTGCTCCCACGTCATAATATTTCGAAGATCTTCATTATTCCAATAATAAGTCATAATATTTCGAAGATCTTCATTATTCCAATAATAAACATTTTGCTTATTTGGAAGATGTAATTGGAGGTTAATAACAGGGGGTTGTATATCATTCATCTTAAATTCAAAAATCCGCCAAATTGCTTCTTGTGCTGATACTCATCTCGCATCTTGGTATTGTTTAATCTCATCTACTGGATGTGTTGCCTCATTTGATGCAATGCACACAGCTACTTTGTCATGCCCTTTGTATATATATTTATAAAAGATATTTTACAGCCTTAAGTCCAGAGCATACTTCAACATTGACATGACAATTATACCTACTTAATAGGTAAGGATTGTATGGAACAATCCATTGATTATCTAAAATTGTGTTACGTATAAAAATTTTCTTTCCATCATTCCTTTGCATATATATTGGATAGCCATCACCACCTAAACTTGTCTTTGAACAAAAAGAACGTGGGTAGTGATATTTACATTTTCCGTCAACCATGCATGGACTTGTTTTCCTCAACGATCCACAAGGGCCATGAACCATATGTTTTACCACCTTCGCATGCAACATTGGAAATAGTGATTGATCTGGTAATTCTGCCGATATAAATTTATCAAAATGATCTGGGCTCATTAGCTTATATTCATGTTTCAAAATTAATAATATATGAGCATGTGGAAGTCCCCTTTTCTGAAATTCAATGACATAGACACGTGCATATACTTTACCAAATACTTCTTTCTTAAATAGCTGGTCTTTAAGATCCTCTATTTTCCCTCTAAAAACTCTAGAAGAAAGATCTGGTCTATCCTGTGCTGTTTGTCCATTTAGAAGCTCATTCTTTATTTCATCCCAATCTGGATTACATGTTATTATAATGAAGAGATCCGGTTTACTGTATCTTTGAACAAGAGCCATAGCGTCCATATAACGACGCCTCATATCTCTTGGTCCTCCAATAAAATATGGTGGTAAAACTACTCTATGTCCAACTTGATCTCCACGTGTTTCCCCAGCAGTAACACTATCAACAATTCCTTGATACAATTTTGATCTCCACGTGTTTCCCCAGCAGTAACACTATCAACAATTCCTTGATACAATTCTGCTCTTATATTCGATTGTTGTTTTCTAAAGAAATCAAGACGCGTTGTCTCTAACTTCACATACATGTCGATTGTTGTTTTCTAAAGAAATCAAGTCGCGTTGTCTCTAACTTCACATACATGTCCACAACAAACTATTGAAATAGTCGTCCAGCAAGTAGCAGGATTGATTTTATTGGATTCCGAATTTGAAACTTGTAGCAATAATACTCCCTACAAGAAACATATTGCCCTCCTTGTCTTTCGATATCTGTTATAAGCTTAAAAAATTTTAGAAATTGATAAGATATGATATATTTTACTTATGAGATTAAAATTTGGCGTTGGTTTTACCTTGTGATTCCTCCTCATTAAGCTGTCTAGCTAAATCCAATGTCTGACTTTCTTCAGTCATATTTAATTATATTCTTTCGTTTCGACCTTTGTAGATAAATTGTTGCTACTCACTCTCACCATTTGGAAATAAAATCGGATATTGTAGAGGATCATAACAACTATAATAATGTTTGACTTGATGCCTTTGTCCAGAGTGCTCTTGTATTATAATCTCTCTATTTAACAGTTTATTTGGATTGTATCCTTCTATCCAAATTGTTGCCACTTGCTTTGCTGTTGGAGAGTTATAAATCCTTTGGTCAAGATTGGTGTTCTTAGATATACAAATTTGTAATTCTCTCAACGTTGGTACATCTTTAAGCCTCCGTAGAATTTTCGCATAAGGATTGTCTTCTAGGATTTTCATTATAGTCTTCATTGTATTTTCTGATAATTTTCCTTCTTATAAAACATTCATCCTATTTTGCAATTCATTATCCGTGTCATAAAAATATAACTGGAAGAAGCGAGGTCTATCATTTTGTGGTATCAATTCAGGGAAACTATGGTAAATCTGACCTTGAGCTCTAAAAGTGTATATTCCATCCCTTGACGATGCCAAGTTTTTATCAATTGCTACCCTAAATGAGGTGAATGAGAAAACACTATTGTATGCTCTAATGTTTCTCCTAAACTCAACACCCTCATTACAATCCGATGTTAGCAAGTTAATAATAATTCATCTGGGATACAAGGTTCCACAAGTACTGTTTCTCCATTATTACAGCAAAAAGATGGGCTCTCATATTCAAATTTTATTGCTCCACAGTGAATGCAACTTGCTATCTTTCCAAGCTTGTGTAGTTCTGAACAAGACGGCCTTGATATATTTGTTCATATACGATTGTAATATGTTATTAGTAAATTTTGTATACTGTAGAAACTTAAATTATTATATTTATAAACTTATCAAAGCTCACCATTGCATTCAACTTGGTAATTGGATGCTCGTTCTAGCCAACGTGCACTTCTTTTCATTGATTGATCTTCTGCATTTGGACTACTATCCATAGTCCTCTTTATTCTCTTATTTCGACACATCCTTCCAATATAAGCTTCTCTTTCCTTAGTAGTTAACGCATTGTAGTAATTTTTCCTCTTCATTTTCTTTGATGCTGTTGATAAATTTATATGAATATATTAGAATTATTTGTTATTGATTATCTGGAAGATGCATTAGAAAAATTAAATTTGTTCGACTAACCTTCATTTGGTTCCATTTGTTTTTCCAAATGTTTTCCACGCAAACTTGTGAGGATATTATTTGAACTGCAAAAGAATTGAACATTAATTTATTTTTCACATTAATCTAGTACATACATATAATAAACTTAAATTTTAAATTTTAAATGTTTTGAATTCATTTATTATGTGTGAAATTTCATAATGTAGTTAAATTCAATTAGTTAACATAGTAATTGCACACTAATAAAACTAATGTTATAATTAATATACGAATTATATAAAGCATTACTTTTGAAAAGGAAATGTACCTTGTTTTCCTTGCTGTAATTGTTGTTTGATCTTAATCTTGCATTCTGACAAAAATATCAAAAATAAAAAGTTAGTACAACCATATATGAAAATAAATTTCTTTGGTTTAATTATTATTATGAGGCATATTGTTGTTCGGCGTCAAATATATTGCAGTCCATTATCCCATACTTTATTAATATCTCCTGAATCTTAAATGTTGTGTAATTTTGGTTATTAAAAAGTCAACCATGGAAGCATATCAGAAACTAAATCCTACCATTGGTTGTGGAAACCCATAGGAAATGGTAGTTTGTATGGGGAAGGATGTAAACAATGACTGATAAACAGCCATTTATTTAACATTAATTTACGTAAGGTTTTAATATGATACTCAATGTTGGTTTTAATAATCAAACATAAGGGATGGATAGTATCATACAATAACATGTTTCACTTGAATAAAATAAACAAGTAAGATGAATTGATAAGCTGCTTTATTGTCATATGATCTTGGGCTAGGAATAAAATATTCCACTTGGATAAGCTGCTTTATTGTCATATGATCTTGGGCTAGGAATAAAATATTCCACTTGAATAAAATAATTAAGTAAAGTGAAAAGGATGAACATATGATCTTGGGCTAGGAATAAAATATTCCACTTGAATAAAATAATTAAGTAAAGTGAAAAGGATGAACTGCGCTTTAAGTAAGTAACATCAACATAAATATGAGTATGAATATATTCTAAATGTAAATGATCCACATCCCTCCTATAATAGTACATAATAGTACAGACTCTCATAGTAATGACATATTTTAGTTCATACATTTACTCATATAATCTCACTAAATGAGTCATTTTTATTGTTACAATTCCCGTTTTAAAATGCTTTTACTCTTAAGGAAAAAACTCTCTTTTGAATATCATATGTTCTAAAGAGAATTGTGAACCTATAGAAAGTAGGCCAAATTTTCAAAACCATCCACTTTTGAAATTTATTTATAAAAAACGACCCATTTCAACCTTAATTTCAAAAACCGACCCAGTTGGTTGAAACTGGGTCGGTTTTTGAAAAAAAAAATTTCAAACTTCACGGGAGTTGAACTCCCGTAAAGTTTTGTTATGAGAAAAAACTTCACGGGAGTTCAACTCCCGTGAAGCTTAGAATTTTATTTTCAAAAACAGACCCAGTTTCATCCAACTAGGTCTGTTTTTGAAATTAAGGTTGAAAGGGGTCTTTTTTTGAGAATAAATTTCAAAATCGGATGGTTTTGAAAATTTATCCATAGAAAGTATGAGCTAATGAAGATATGGAAATATATAATTCAAAGAAGGCATAATTAGATTATGAATGGATGGGATCGATTCAAGTAACTAATAGTAGTAAACAGCCATTTATTTTACATTAATTTACAGAAGGTTTTCTGCTTTGATGATATCTGGTGAAGCTGTTGCAAGTACAAACTATATAAAGTATTATTTTTGTAAAGGAAATGTACCTTATTTTCCTTATTGTAGTTGTTGGTTGTTTTTAATCTTTAGACCTAGCTTTATACCTATACCTAGATAAAAAAAAGAAAATTAAAAGTTAGTATTATATTTTATGCATTTGTTCAAGGTATCAATTGTTCAATTTTATATTGAAGACCTACAAAAGGTCATAACATTTCATCCATAAAGAAACCTTGTGAAGCTCTAAAGATGAACTAATAACTTTGAAAACCATATCTTATCATAATCGTAATCATAAATCATAAATCATAAATGGCTAAAATTGAAGTATCATTAATACTTCACACAAATCCATATCATTCATAAACCTGATGGTAAAGAAATATAAAAAGGTAAACATAAGTTCTTTCACATAACTTAAGCTAATTAAAACAACTGAAATTTATAAAATTTCCCAACATGATTCACAAACTCATAGACCTTGATATTTTATTGACTTGACATTTATTTTTCTAATACTTGTCTCAACTCATTTTTTCTTCTCCTGACGAAATTTCCATATAGCTGCTAGAATTTCCATAGCTTTAGCAAACA